GGGGGGGTGGGGGGGGGGAGCCTGCAGAGCCAGGGAGAACACCCACAGGAGCATGTCACAGGTCGCAGGGGCTGCCTGCCTGAAAGACACTGTCCAAGTGAATCTGGTTTCCTTTTGGTGGCCTTGGAAGGCAGAGCAGGACCGAAGCAGGCATGTTCCAGAAAGGCAGGTTTTAGCGCCACACAAGCTCTGCCAATGTTTATTCATGTTCTGCTCTAGGCCAGGAATTGGGGATACAGTGATGTGCATAGTGAGAGCCCCAGAGGGGGCATGAGAAGGTAGAGCTGTACATGTGGGCCCTACGGTCTTGTGAGGTGCTGGGTCCTTGACACTGGACGCATCTGGGGAGGTGCTGAGTAACTGGGTTAAGGGTTTCTTCCTTCACAGGGAGGTCTCCCCCCCATACACACACACACACACTCCTCCTCGCTAAATGGCTCTGTGATTCTCTCCTTTGGGGGCTGGTTCTTGCCTTGTGTTTGATCAGTGAGTGTCCCCGGGTTCATGGCACTGCCTGGTAACACCTTCTCCTCTGGATTTTCCTGGGGCCTGTATTGATCTCTCCCCAAACCCCAGCCTCGTGAGGGACATGTCCCATGTCTCCTTCCCAGGGGTTAAACTCTGTCTTCCCCATCTGGTCTCGGCGCTGATGAACATGTTGTGGTTCCTGCACAGGACGTGCCCTCAGAGGAGGTGGAACCCCAGACTGCAGTCCAGGGATCTCAGGCCAAGGGACCTCCCCCTAAGGCGGGAGCACAAAACCAGCCACCTGTGCCCCGGGAGCAGCACAGCCATGGTGGTGAGTAAGCTCCTTCCCGGGCTTTGCCCTAAGGGTACCAGGAAGGGTACCTGTTCTGCGAAGCTTAGGCGTGTGTGTGTGTGCATGTATGTGCACATAGGAGAGTGTGTGGGGTTTCATATCTAGCTTGAGTTGGCCTCTCTGAAGCTTTGTTCTTTTCTTTCAGCCCAGCTTCCTGCTCTTCTTAAGGAGGGGAGTACCAAACAGAAAACGAATGCCTGCTTTGCCTCTGAGATCCATGTAAGTTACCAGTTCCTTTGTCCCCTCTGAGGCCATTGGTACTGACGACTCTCTATGGGCCTTGCCTTCTCAAAGCCTCTCCATCCTTCCTGCTCCTGCTTGGGCCCATCCTGTTCCCCATCCCAATCCTCTTCCTCCCGGCTGCCAGGCGAGCCCTGAGCAAGGCATCCCTGAGCGGGATCTCTCACCTCATTTCAGGGACCTGTGACATTTGGAGACATTCCCTTCTATTTCTCCCAGGAAGAATGGGGGTCCCTGGACCCTGCTCAGCGGGACCTTTTCTGGGACATAAAGCGGGAAAACTCCCGGAACGCTGCTGTGGGTAAGCGGTAGGTGCAGCCAGGACCCTCGGAGTCCTTGGTTTCTCTGAGCTGGAGGCAGTAGCCTCCCTGGGGGTCCCAGCAGCAGAGAGAGGGTCCAGGCAGGCCACACTCCCTGCACGTCCTGCTGGAATCCTCAGTCTTCCTCCTCACTCCCTCTCAGCTGGCTCCAAAGTGGGCTTTCCCAGCCCGTCTGCAAGAGCCCTGGCTGATTTATTTTTGTGTGTTAATGTTCATTTTTCTTTGCCTTTGAACATGTATTAATATATGGTGGGTGCTTGCAACATGCTAGCACTGGCTGAGCACACATATGGACATTTTCTCATGTGGTTCTCACAGCCCAGTACATAGAGGTGTTCTCCTTGTTTTATAGACAAGGGACCTGAGACTCATGTCAGTGGACACCAAAGGGACAGAGCTGGGACTCCGTCCAAATGGTGGTTGCAGGGCCCTCCAGGCTGCCCTGGGAAGAGGTGCTGACCGTGAAAACACGTGCTGGGCCCCAGGGCCTGGGCCTGGGCCTGTGTGGTAGAGGCCACGCTCCCTGGAACCTCTCCAAGCCAGGACCTTTCTGAGCTCTATGTGGGGGTCATCTCACATAATCTACACGACTCGATGTGGTGGGCTAGGATCCCTCTGGATCCAACTCCATTCTTGAGCTTAGAAGACAAGAGCTTGGCCCAGCAGGTGTGGCTCAGTGGTTGAGGGTCCCCCCATGAACCAGGAGATCTGGGCTCGATCCCCAGTAGGGGGCGTGCAGGAAGCAGCTGATCAGTGATTCTCTCATCATTGATGTTTCTCTCTCTCTCTCTCTCTCTCTCTCTCTCTCACTCTCTCTCCTTTTCTCTCTGAAGCCAATAAAAAAAATTTTTTTTAAAGTTTATAAAAAAAGAAGACAAGAGCTTGTGTAGTGAGAGGAACCACGGTAGCTGAACCCATGTGAGTCCTGTTTCTGATAATGAATAGTGAGAGTTTGGATCGTTTACGAACTTTACCTTAATCTCTTAAGTTTTGGAGTTTGAATTGTCAGGGCTCAGAGAGTGGGGTTGGATCCTATTATGGGAGGGAAGCCCAGATTGGTTAGGTGTATACTTGGTGCCTCTGGGGCAGGATCAGCGGACTCCTTGCCTCTGACTCTGCTTCTGCCTCTGCCCTCTCTGCCGGCCTTTTATCATGTCCCCATTTTATGGAGGAGGAAACAGGCTCGGGTCTGTCCAGCCCAGGACTCTGAACCTGACAGCCAAGCGCTTGCCACTGAGCCCTGTTTCTGCCTTGCCTCAGCTCTGAGCCCAGACCAGATGGGACTGAAGAGCCCACCTCCTCCTCTTCGCTTGCAGGTTTGGGGCTCAAGAGCCAAAGGGGGCGATCCCCGCTGGAGGAGGCAGTGAGGGTGCGCCCAGGCCAGGCGGGCAGCGATGTGACTGTGGCCTGGAGCCCTGAGGAGGCCGAATCCTGGGAGAGTGAGGCCCGGCCAGGGGCGCTC